TCCCCCTGCCCCCATGGTTCTTCCACGTGGCTGGTTTTGCACAAATCCCTCCAGAATCCGCCCCCCCCCACAGTGATCACTTTTAGGCCTGAGTGTCAGAAGCCAAACTGTTAGCATTTGGTCCTCACCCAAGATAACCCCCGTCACTCTAATCACATTCTGAGTTCTGCTCGTCTTCCTCTATGCCCTTCAGATAAGATCTTTGTTTCGAAACTCTTCAGTCCAGAAAGGGCGGGTGAGCCCCCTACCTTCTTTTCTGTGAAGGCCGATAGGACGTGGGTGTACATGTCCGACTGGTCGACCACTGCCTGGGTCCGCACTGGCCTCCTGAGGAGCGGGCTGCTCCGGCTCTGCCCGGCCTCCATTGCCTGCAAGGCAAACCATAAAGGTGATCTTAGTCCACGTGTGGCTAATGACGTGTCTGCAGTGAAACCAAAAGGGCTGACTTCCGAGATGCTGTGAGCCTAAGACGTGAGCAGATGACACTTATTCCATGACTCGGACAAGGCTCTTTCCTGTGCTGGCTGGGGCAGAGTTCAGGAATCATCCTAAAAATACAGCAGTGTTCACAGATGGAACTAAAAAAGCACATGCTGTTTTCTCAAGACTTTTTTTTAAACCTCTTAACATAACTCCCTGATTTTCTTAATCACAGACTACCTGGCATTTGTTCTCTAATAACAGTGACGTGGTTTACTGCATCTTCGTTTTATGAAGCCCTGGTCCTACGAGTGGATACCTCTCGTAGTCGTAAGTGTCAGCAGGTTTTAAAGGGCAAGCACAGCTCCCCAGACGTTACTGGGGAGGAACACTCACTGTGTTGCTTTAGCAGCAACCTCCTTAGCTTTAGTGAGCCTGTCTCTGCTCTTACTTCTGGGCAGGAAAATTGCCAGCTTCCATAACCACGATGTCACTTCCAACCAGCCGAGAGGCCAGGCCTTTCTGTTACTTCCTCTGACCTTTAAGTCTTTGTTCTCTAATCTGAGCTTCCTGCTCACATGGAGGCCGGGTTCTCCTGTAACCAGAGAGTCCCTGGGACCATAATTTGAACTATAATTACCAGAGGATTTTTGAGAAGTGTGGCATACTTTGAAGCCGCTTTTGGGAGAAAGTCTTGACTGCTTCACCTAGCTTTGGGACACAGGTTGTGCAGGCACCTGGGGTGGGGTGTGGAGAGCCTGCACTTCCAGGTGCTCCGGGTGTGCTCGTGGTGCTGGGGGAGGACCACACTCTGGACCAGCTGGGTTTACAAAGCCTGAGAGCTGCAGGGCAGGGATGCTCAGAAACTGCCACTGGGATCAGGCCTCTGTTGCCCCCAGCCCAGAACACTGGCAGGAGGACGTGTCCAATAAGACAGGGACACGTGCTCCCAGGTCACCGGCCTGCAAGCAGCCTGCCTCAGCCCTGTTATCCTCGAGTAGCTACAGGAAAGAGGGGTTCTTTTAAAACCACTAACATTTTTCACCTTCGGAAGATCAGGTCCTCGAAGTGGACTAATTCATTCCACTTGCCCTGAATTTTTCTCCTCTAGCTGCTTTGAAGCTTGAGAAGCAACAGCACAGCAGAACCTGACAGGCCAGGGTACCTTTTCCCAGCCCCTCACCACAAACGTCTGCGCCTGCTACACAGGAAAGCAGCGTCCTAACGTCCCATCACCACTCTCCTGACAAGACCCTGCCTGGCGGCCAGGGTGAGTCTTACTGTTATAGCTATTACATCCTAAAAGGAGAGGAACAAGGAGTGACAAGACGGCTGTACTTCTCATTTACTAACTCCAGGCTCTGGATGGACAGAAAGCTAGGAATCTACTGCTCCCCCACCGTGGGCACCTTGCCTCTGGCACACAGCCAGCCTCAGTGGTGTTACTCCACCTGAATCTTGCGTTACAACGACGCTGGAAACACACCCGGGTGGGAGGAGCCCCTCCGGGTAATACATACAACTTACCATCGTGTAGTTCTGCTCAGCGTCCAGGTACTTCTTATACTCCTGATTGAGTTTGTCAAAAACAGTGGCTATCACCGGCAGCGTTGCTCTGTCTGACTCGGTCAGCACTGGAAGGGGTCAAGTTCACGCAGGTCAGCCGACTCCGCGTCAACTCCAGAACTTCAACACGCAGCAACGTGAGAAAGGCTATGAGAGAAATGACTCATCTCCAAGGATTACCAGGTATTCAGAGAAATGGTACAGTTTAGAGACTAGAAGCCTGGAAGCCACTCACCAGCCCTTGCTGGTTCCTAAAGCAGCTACGGAGGGTATGAGAAGACTCTCAGAGTTTAACTGTAAATGCAGTGAGTGACTTGGATTCTGAAAACGTTTGTTTGCAAGCTGGGAAGGGGAGCCTCCACCCTCGTGCGTGCTCATGTGTGGGTCTGCTTTATTTAGTCTTTTCTACCCGAGTCTCTGCAAGTCGTTATGTTCAGCACACTCTCCAGGTGCTTAAATAATCCACCTTCAAGTGAAGAAGGAGGCTGTAGGCTGCAGCAAGGCATAAACACCGGACCCATCTCCCAGTAAAAGGTCTCGGGCAGCACAGGCCTAACGGGAATCAGACAGGGGGGAGGGACCCAGCCACTTACTCTGCGAGCAGACAGACAGGATGACCATCTTGCATTCCTTTCTCTGGAGGAGAAAGTCCATGAGTCTTCCTTTATCTGGCAAGAGGTTTACTATGGGCTGAAGTTTCACTTGGAGGTTCCAGAGGTAACCTGGATTGAGAGGCAGTGAATTTAACTGATGCAAACGAGAAAAGCCTTAACAGTGGTTCCCCTAAACACTGGGGGACCTGCCGCCAAGCAGTCTGTGGCTGCTTCTCACTAACCGAAGCACAGGCGGCCACACCCAGGGCCTGCCCGACTGCAACGGGGTCGGCGACTGGACGACCTGTGTGTGCAGGCCGAGCCCCCAGAGTAACCCTGCATGTTCACTGGCAGCCATGTGAATGGAGCAGCTACCAAACTTGGGCGACAAGTCTTAAATCAACGCGGGGTGACTCCTTCCCTGCACCTGGCCCCCTTGAATCTTGAAGGGAGACGTCAGTGTGTGTGCTGACGGTCCTGTGCTCTGCTTTCTCCTGGACCAGCTCCCTGGTCGACAGCTAAAACCAGAGGCTCCCAGAGGAATTCCTTATCTCATCCACTCACCAGTCCGGGAATTTCCTGACACCCACGCTGCCTGCCGGCTAGGCAGGCAGAACCTTCGTCAACTGGGGTCCCCGGGAGAACTAAAGGTTTGGTCAGAAATGACCTGAGTGGTCCCTTTCTCAGCTCTCCCTGGGCTGGGACGCCCCCACCTCCAACCCACCTTGGCTCGCACTGATGATGATGTCAGGTTGAAAGACGATCCAGGACGAAGAATCTGCATGTTATAGGAAATTCTGAACCAGGAAGACATGAAAACAAAAGGCAAACCACCCCCAGGTGTCCGGCCCGTGATGGGAAGGAAACCCCACGGGCGCTTCCCATGATGTTCATGCCTGACTGGGGGTCTCAGACCACCTTAGACCCAGTGTGAGGAGGGTGACGGCTCCCCTCCTTGCACGGCCAGCGCTCGGAAAGGATACAGAGTTTACACGGGACGGGGGACTGGCTGGTCACGGGAGCAGGACCTATGAACGGAGAAGACACGTGTGCGAGGGCTGGCAAGACAACTGCAAAGCGCTGCCAACACAGGCACGTGAATCTGAATCTAACACTTAGCTCAACACTGAGCCTTCTGAAGCCTCCAGTGAACGTTTATTCAGCCGTAGCTGAACAAGGAAGAAGTGAACAGTCGAGTCCCACTGATAACACACATGAGGAGGAAGGAGGACGCTGAGAACAATCCACGAAGAGGTCTTGCCACGAGGGGGAAAGCAGGTCAAAACTCCATTCACAGCATTTTCTTTCTAATAACCAAAGACGATTCCTCATCCACAGGTGTGCGTTAAAGGACTGAGAAATTCACCTGGGTGGCTCAGAACCAAATACCCAGATAACTCACTATCCTGGGAAAAGAAAGAAGCTGGAAAGAACACAGAACCTGAAGACTACAGCTGACCCTCGAACCAGGCGGGTTTGGACTGCGCGGGTCCACTTATACACGGCTGTTCTGTGACAGTGGAAACTGCAGGACCACATGGTCCGTGGCTGGCTGAATCCTTGGCTGCAGAACCTGGGAACGGAGGGCCAACCGGACGGCACACAAGCATCAACCCCGCTGTTCCTGGTCCGCAGTAGCGTGTTTTCCCCCAGAAAGACGGGGGGCAGGCGAGAGGCAGCACTCCTCTCCTGCCATCGGCCCGAGCCTGACCTGCTCTGTGACCCGAGTGAGGACACCGGAGCTGCAGGCGAGGCCGACCCTCCGTGCTCCCTGGCACGGCTCCCAAGTTCCAGATGTGCACCTGCTGACTACGGTCTGCACATGCAACTTCAACTAGCTTACTCTGGGCTCCAACCTCCTTTAAAAAGAACACTGTTGAGTTCTACTTTGAAACGGATTACACTGGGAAAAGGCAAAAGGACCCAATCGGTTTCTTTTCCCTTCCCTGAAATACTGACCGTGTCTCCTCCCTGACTTCCTATTGCTGCCCCTTCAGGTCTGAGCACTGGTTCAGAACAACCTCAGGAGCACAGCCGTAAGCACTGACTGTGACCTCAGCCAGGGGAGAACGCGGTATTTGTTGTAATAAGGACTCAGTACGGGAGGTAGATAAGGAGAAGTGATCCTGGGCTAAAACCGCTGTAAGCAGCCGCGTCTAACCCCGGGGTTACAGAGCACAGGAAACAAAACGCCGCCGCCGGCTTCTTCAACATGAAAACAATCCTCCCAGTTGGATGGGTAATCACGACTGCCCACCTCAGAGATCACAGAAGAGAATCATTCTGTTTTCCTCAAAGGAAGATTCATTTTTCTTACAAAGTGCTTTTCACAAGAACACAGTTTTAACTTATAGAATTGGTACGAGTTTCACTTAAAAAAAAAAAGCAGAATCACCCGTCACAAGGGCAAACAGATCTGGGAAGCGCGGACCCGCTCCTCCTTCCATCCCTCTTACCTGCCGCGGGGATCTGATAGGGGTGAATCGATCGGGCGGGAAGCACCGGGTGATGGAGGGTGACGGTGCCATCGAACTCTCCCCTTAGCCTGATGTCAAATATCACCGACGTCTAAGGCGGAAGGACAAGGTGGTGACACCAAAATGAGTCACGGCTCAACCCGCCCCACCTGACGCCTCACGTCTGCTGTCTCAGCCCCGCTGACGAGTCTGTGTCTGCACCCACCCCTGCGCCAGCTCCCACGGGAGCAGGAACCTGCTGTGACATCGCAGCCCTCTCTCTCTGTTTTATCAGCTCTCAAGTATTCCCACCTCCTATGACATGCCTCATCTAAGAGCTCCGGCAATTTAAACAGATCTTTTTCACTGTAAGTGGCAGCATCTTCATCAGTAAGTGACTGGGCGTCACCAGCCTCTAGAAGGGAGGGAGGGAAGTGGCCTGTCTACCAGCAGACACCCAGCTAACACTGCAGAAAAAGCAGGACCCATCCTAGCTCTTTCTCTTGGGCCACACAGCCTCAAAACCATCATCACGGACCCTCAGAAGGGAACTACTGAGCCGTGTGCTCACACAACACGGTGGATCTGTGGTGGATTCCCAGCTAAGCTGATTCAACCAAATAACTGTTCTAAAGTCCAATCTCCTCCCGTGTGATTTTCTGAAAACAGTTTCCAATTATCCTATCAACTTACAGGGCATCACTGTTTTCCCTAAACCATCTGGAATATGAAACCCCCTTCCACCTGGAAGACCAAAACTTGCAACATAAAAAGCACTTCCTTGTCTTTGCCCAGAATGTTGGGTTAACTTTCCCAACTGGAAGCCAGGCAAGCGGCCCGGACACCCCTACGCGCTCATACCTCTGTGTCCTGGTGATGCACGACCACCAGGTTGTCCACCACGTTGAGGGCGAACTTCCCCGTCCGGCTTAACTTCAGTATGTGCATCTTTTTGCAGGCACCTTCTCTGCAGGACAACAGAAAGGTCAAAAACTAGATCGACAAGCCTCAGTGCATGCCTTAAAACTGGAGAAAGAGGGGAGCGTGCACGAAGTGTACCGTGGCAGGTGGTAGAGGACAACTTCCGCTCCCGTGCTGTTGGACGTCCGCGAGTGGTGCCTCAGGAAGAGCACGTACAGCTGCCCGTATCTGCCAACAACAGAGACATCAGCCCCGCCGCC